GATGATCACGTGGTGCGTCCTGAAGCCGTGTGGACCTAGCCGCTCTTTGTGTCATTAAAAGAGGCTTTATCGAGTGGGTCGTGACACTCGCACAAAGGAGACATACCCAGTTGAGGGGAAACAGGCCTCCACCTGTAAAACATTCCTGTTTTAGGTCTGTCTCATTGTTGGCATTCTAGTGCACATGTTGGTGATTTCATTAACACCAAAGCAGCTGAAACCAATTTACAACCCTCTTTGTTGTAAGAGGCCTGGTTAAGGTGTAACAGGAGAAAACGGTATTGGTTGATCTTGGGGGGAACACAAGTATGTGAGCTAAATGTCACTGAGTCCATCCAAAAAGGTCTTGAAACAGTTTACTCAAAACCACAAATACAGTCGACCGAAATGAGAGCTCAACTGCAAATACACAAAGGGATAAATTACTGGGCATATGGATGTGACAATTATTGATCTTATTGATCATTTCTGACAAATCAGTGGGTACTTCAGTGCACACAGTTTACCTTTTTAGTCACTAACCTGAGGATTGCTTGTCAGAGATTCTATAGGAATCAATTCAATACAGAACTAAAGCAAAATAACTTTCATATATGCAACATTCAGTCTTCTTGGTTTTTTGAATTTGTTCGTGTGCTTTCTATTTTTTCTGCAAGACAGTCGTGTGAGGAAAAGATGAGAACTAAAATGTCTCACATGGATATAACTGTGAAAAAGTGACTACCATGGAGAATCTGGACTTCAGGCTTTGAAACAAGTCCACAGTGTCACCATGGCAGAGCTAAAATGGGCAGCTCCAAGCTTGTCAATGCCAGCGATTAGGCACCCATGAGGTCACACATGAGTGGGATTTTTTTTCAAATTAAATAAAATAATCTTTTCACTTTAGTCCTAATTACTATAAGAAAGGTTGCTAAGGGCGTTGTTAATTTTATTGGTCTCGTTCAGTCAAACTGAAAGTTTACTCTGCAAACGTAAATGAACATTGTCAGAAAGAAAAGTGTAATTTTGTATTTAGCCCCATTCGTTTCTCCTGGCCTTTTAGCTCTTAAGAACGATTGTTTTATGTTATTGCAGGCTACAGTAGCTGTTCTTGTCAACAGAAAATGGAAATACTCAAGAAATTTAAGTTGCAATAGTGTTAGAAATAATAAAACCAACAAAGGCTCTGAAAGAGATTTAACGGGCTCAGTGAGAAGCCGTCAACCAGCCTGCCTACTGTCCTACATAAAGAAAACTGGAGCAATGCTGTCTTCCTTCAGGTTCAGACAAAGTGGGCCACTGTCACCAGACCAGGAAACACTGCAGCCAATCAGAGATGGTGGAGGAAAGAAAGTTTCTCTTGGGAGTCTCTTGTCATTGGTACCACTGATTCCTGAACATCAACAGATCTTAAAAACAGACTACATTTGTGAGTGCG